CCACCACCTCCGGCTTATGGGGCCAGCACCCTACCCCTTTGAGCCACAGGCACCGCCCAGCTCTGTGAACTTTAGCTAACTGCTCTAGTTCTGCATTTCAGCTTCCTCATCAGTAAAATGGGTTGGTACCTGCCACCCAAGGTTGTGAGGTTGAAATACCATAAAGCACTCAACACAGCATCTGAAGTTTAGAAAGTAAGGGGAATGTGGGAGAAGAGAAGTTGGTTGAATCCTATGCAACTTTAATCAAATCTGTTTAAAAGAGAGAGAGTGAGGGTTATGAGAGGGTCTAGTCCCAGGGAGCATGAGGAGGGGACGTCAAAAGGAGAAGAAATACTCTTTGGCTATTGTTAAAACTTTCGTCTTCTATTAATCTCATTCAATAGGTAAATTTATGTTCTAGTTGGAGTGGAGGGGGCAGAAAGACACATGGAACGACGAACATCTACACATCAAAATGTGTTACATTATTTTAAAAAGCTATACCTGAAAAGTATATCCATTTTTCAAATTCCAGAACTGAGGCTGAAAACCTAGCTGACATCCTTAAAAAGGAATAAAATTCTGATACATACTACACCGTGGATGAAGCTTGAAAACATTATGCTACGTGAAATAAGTCACACACAAAAGGACAAGCATTTTTCTTATTCTAATTATATGAGCTTCTTAGAATAAGCAAATTGATAGAGACAGAAAGTAGAGTAGAGGTTACTGGGGTCTAAAGGGAAGAGAAATGGAGAGTTATTGTTTGATAGGCACAGAGTTTCTATTGGGGATGATGAAAGAGTTTTGGAAATGGGCGGTGGTTATGGTTCTATTACATTGTGAATACACTTAATGCCACTGAACTGTACACTTAAAAATGGCTAAAATAGGCAGCGCCTGTGGCTCAAAGGAGTAGGGCAGCGGCCCCATATGCCAGAGGTGGCAGGTTCAAACCTGGCCCTGGACAAAAACTGCAAGAAAAAAAAAATGGCTAAAATAGTAAAGTTTATGCTATATATTTTTTAACATAATTTTTCTAAAACCTAGTGACACCACTAACTCACTAAGCTGACTCCAGCTTGCCATTGTTTTTATCAAAAACAATTTGATACCAATATGTCTACTAACTCTGCTTAGGTCTAATAATCCCATTTCACCTAACCAGACTGAGTTGAAAGATTGAAACTTCTCACTCTGGAGTTCAAATCTGCAAACCACTGGCAGCAAGCCCAGATAAGAGGCGGCAGGATAGGGGCTCCTCAGAGCCCAGGAGTCTGTGGTTGCTGTGAGCTACCACACCACAGCACTTAACCTCAGGGTGACAGAATGAGACTGTCTCAAATAAATAAATTAATTTAACATATTCTCATGCTTCCTATAATACTTTTTATTTAGAAAGTCCAAAAAGTTCATTAGACAATAAAAATGACTCTTGTTCATAGAACAGGCAAATGAGTTACTCCCAGGAGAGGATCACTTGAGAGGCCAGGACTTTGAGAGCAGCCTGGGCAACATAGTAAAACCCCATCTCTACCAAAAATGGAAAAAAACGAGCCAGACGTGGTAGCCTGTGCCTATAGTCCCAGCTACTGGACAGACTTAGGCAAGAGGATCGCATGAGCCCAGGAGTTTGAAACAGCAGTGATCTATGATTGTGACATCCACTCCAGCCTGAGCGACAGAGCAGGACTCTGTCTCTTAAAAATAAATAAGTTAATTATGTAATTAATTTCTTTTTTTTTGAGACAGAGCCTCAAGCTGTCCCCCTGGGTAGAGTGCTATGGCATCACAGCTCACAGCAACCTCCAACTCCTGGGCTCAAGCAAGTCTCCTGCCTCAGCCTCCCAAGTAGCTGGGATCACAGGCACCCACCACAATGCCCGGCTATTTTTTGGTTGCAGCCGTCATTGTTGTTTGGCGGGCCTGGGCTGGATTTGAACCCGCCACCTTACGTGTATGTGGCTGGCGCCTTAGCCATTTGAGCCACAGGTGTCGAGCCATGTAATTAATTTCTTATTTTTATTTTTTGAGACACAGTCTCAAGCTGTCATCCTGGGTAGAGTGCCCTGCAGTCATAGTTCATAACAATCTCCAACTCATGCTGTCATAGCTCACAGCAACCTCCAACTCTTGGGCTCAAGCGATTCTCTTGCTTCAATGTTTTTATTTTTAGTGGAGATCAGGGTCTCACTTTTTTGCTTAGGTTGCTCTCAAACTTGTGAACTCAAGCTATCCATCCACCTTGGCCTCCCAGAGTGCCAGGATTATAGGCGTGAACCACTGGGCCCAACCAAATGAATATTTTTAGAAGTGCTGGGATTACAGGAGTGAGCCACCATACCTATCCTATCATTCTTTTTTTTTTTTTTGAGATAGAGTCTCTCTGTTGCCCTGAGGTTGAGTGCTGTGCTGTCATAGCTCACAGCAACCTAGGCTAATCCTAGCCTCCCAGAATGCTAGGATTACAAGCATGAGCCACTATGACTGGCCCATTCTTTTTTCTTTTTGTGACAGTCTCACTTTGTCACCCTTTATAGAGTGTCTGGCGTCATAGCTCACAGCAACCTCAAACTCTTGGGTTTGAGCAATCCTTTTGCCTCAGCCTCCCAAGTAGCTGGAACTATAGGCACTCACCACGCCACCTAGCTATTTTTAGAGACAAGGTCTCGCTCTTGCTCGGGCTCGTCTTGAACCTGTTAGCTCAGGCAATCCACCTGCCTCAGCCTCCCAGAGTACTAGGATTACAGATGTGAGCCACTACACCCAGCCTTCAGCATTCTCAATGAACCTACGTATGTGCAGAATTTTGAATTTTCCTTTGACGTAATTGTAACTTCTTGCTAGGTCTCTCGTTAATTAATTAATTCAGTAAAATTTTTGACCTATGTTCATTTTTTAAAGAGCAGATTAAAAGACTACTTAGGAAAACTATTTTCAGTTAAAAAATGTAGTTGCTATAGTAGAAAGTAATCATAAAAATGGAAGGTACCCAGGTTCCACCAGGAGAAGTATGTGGACCCCTTTGGTGTATACTACTGTGATCCAAAGCACTTTGATAAACTGTAAAGGTTTGTATTATCCAGTACATTATTGTGCTTTTTGGTCACTATCAGTGCCACACCCAGTCCCTGAGAAGGCTGAAGTCCATGTGAACAGACAGGGGTTCTCTCATTGCCTTGTGCCCGCCCTGCCCCTGGCGAATCTCAATTCACTCACTTCATGATGCGTTTGGCCCCGTGGCAATGGAGATCATAGGAAAGGGAGTATGTGTCATAGAAAGTTGCCTTCACATTCAGGCAGCCAACGAAGTCCTGTGGGTTCAGCTTGTACAGGTCAAAGGTTATGCGGGCCACATCAATCTTCTTGGCAGGCTTATGGGAGAGGGTGGGTTGGTACCTTGATCTCTGCACCAAGACAAGGAGATAGTTTGCACCCTTTGAGATATTCTCCCAGGCTCCCCAAGTGTCTCCCCACAGGTGGGACCTAACCTGTTCTGATGGGGGCTGCCATTTCTGCCCCTTCTGGAGGACCATGAATACTGTATCCCCTGCCAGAGCTCGGAAATAGTCTTCTGTCTCTACGGTTGTGCCGTCTTCCTCCAGCACCAGGAAGAAGGGTTTGTCTGCCAGCATCAGGATGTCCCGAACCTGGGGAATAAGGTCAGTGAGGTTTCAGTCATCCCCATGGAGCTACAGAACTGGTATGGTGGCTAGGCGCCTGTAGCTCAAGTGGCTAAGACGCCAGCCACATACACCTAAGGTGGCGGGTTCGAATCCAGCCTGGGCCCACCAAACAACAATGATGGCTGCAACCAAAAAAATAGCCGGGTGTTGTGGCAGACGCCTGTGGTCCTAGCTACTTGGGAGGTGGAGTCAGGAGACTCGTTTGAGCCCGGGAGTTGGAGATTGCTGTGAGTGATGCCACGGTACTCTACC